TGGTCATACTCAACGTGTCCCCTTTTGATGTTTTGGCAGAGTTTGGGGCAGACAGCTACCAGATAGGAAATGAGAGCCATGAGATTTGAAACACATCCATCCAAGCCCACTTGGTGACTTTGGGAGGGACTTACACCTGATACAGGAAGACAATTCTGAAAGGCCTGCACTCAGCACTTTCCATTGGTTCTGTTCATTACCATGATGTTTTGAGGAGACCCCATGTTAGAAATACGTAACTTCACCAATAACAACAGTTTATATTTGTGTATAGGTTTCAGAACACTTTGATATATTCTCTTTTGGCCCACATAACATTTTGGTTTAAGTTTTATCACTTTAAGTGGGTTTTATCACATTTTTCTAGATGAGGAATAAGAGACTCTGGAGTCAAATGGCTTGCCCCAAGGTTGTTACTGTTGTTACCTGCTGTTGAGTCGAGCCCCCGATTCATGGCAACCCCACGCACGATGAGAATTTCAGAAATAGATCACCAGGCCTTTCTTCCTAGTTCATCTTAGTCTGGAAGCTCTGCTGAAACTTCAGTTTCATAGCAACACATAAGCCTCCCCTGAGAGGTGGCTGAGCAGGAGATGCACTGGCTGATGGCTGAACCCATGGAAGGCCAGAAATCTACCACTGAACCACTGCTGCCTCTGTCCAAAGATACATGGCTAAGTGTCGTCCCACCAGGAGTGTGAAGGGGAAGGTCTGAGTCCACTCTCCTCCTCCTCCCTGGGCTTAGAGATGGGAAGAAGATGAGTGTAAAATTGGACACGTGAGGAAATGGAGCTCCCCCGGCTCTGTGGCACCTCCCAGTGACAGTGTTCTCAGATACGCTTCAGTGGGTCCTGGTGCCCCACTGCAGCACAGCTTAGACACAAGGTTACTGGTTTGGATTAGGCCAAGGGACTCACGTGAATGCTCTTAGCCTTCATTTCTTCTTAGCTAGGGAGTTAAATGTGACTTCTAAATCCCATCCTTTGCTATCTCTATGACATAAAATTTTGCAGAGAACCAGAAAGGATCTACATTTGAGTATTCAGAGTGGTAAAGATATATGCCCACTTTTTTTTGGCTACTTTTTTTTTCTTTTAACATTCTTCAGTTATTCTTGTGTTTTCTTTATTGAAAATCCTTTTGTAACAGAAGTGATTTTTCCTAAAGTAAAATATAACCACATTGGTTTTCAGAATATGTTGACTTAAACATTTATCTCATGTATTTTGTCTTTTCTGCCAATTCTTAATCTTCTCACTCTCCTCTCTGTACTTTAACTGCTGACCCCTTTTCTGTCCAAAAGTCAGGGAGGAGAATGGGGAGGGAAGTGAAGGTACAAATCAGAAAACATAGATCGCCTTTGATGATTTTGTTGATTTATTGACAGTCAAATATGTTTAGAGTAAATCTTCGTTTTCTAGTCTGTCAGCATAGAATTTCTCCAATTGTTCCTTCTCCCCTATTTAAAAAAAAGAAGAAGAAATTTCACCTGTTATGGATTTAAGATTTTTACAGCTATAAATCAGCAAAAGCTCTGCCAAGGGATGGCAGGACCATTTTCATAGTTGAGGAACACTCTGGCTAGTCTTGTGGAGTTGATCAATTTGCTGATCGATTTGGAGCCAAGCAAGAGGAACCCCACCTGAGCCCACGACTAGAATGAAAGTAGAATTGCAGGGCTATCTCATGAGGAAGGTGGGTTTGTAAGGGAACCCAATGGGATGACACCTATGTCAGTAATCAGACTGATTTTAGAATACTCCGTGTGACTCTGGAGGTAGTCAGAGAATCCTGTATATTTCTAATTTGAAAAGAGCAGAGTTGTGCAAATTATTTCTCAAATCCTTGAACCTATGAGAGAGTGTTTGTTGGAGTGGAAAACTTTGATGCTGATGACCCATGAATCATAGTGCAAATAGGATCTGAAGCAGACAGAATGTCAATGCAAGGTTAGAGAATTAACTTTTTTTTTTTTCCCTGTGTACTGCTGAGTGTTTCCTGGGTCTTGAGCCAACATACCTGTCCTTAGTCCCAATGACCACCAAGTTCAAGCTCCCTGTGGAGTTTTCTGACCATGGGATGGCCAGCTCCTCCATAATGGAGGAGCGTCGGTGGTCCTTAGACACAGCGGCAAAACACAACCTCCTGCTGAAGAAAAGGCTAACATTTGATGACTATCGTCAGGGATCTGCGGTGACATTCACTGCTCTCTAGCCCTTTCATTTTGCCAAAGGAAACAGTTGTCATCAGGGAGATGACATATGAAAGTGCTCTGAGCAGCCAGGTACTATTTTATGCTGTGTTATTGCACTTGAGAACAAATTGAGATCAGGAGAAATAGCAGTAAGTGATGCTAAACTTGAAATAGATTAAGATTTAGGCCCTAGTCTGATAAGAGTAGATGTAAGTGGGTCCATCAGCTCCAGTTTTTCTTTTAAGTCAATTTGTTAATCTAACACCTCTAATAGAAAGCCAACGACAAGTAAGGGAAGGTAGGAGAGCAATCTGCTTTTAAGGCTTTTGTGGTCTCAGAAGATTATAAATTTCCATCTAAATTGAAACAGTTCTATAAATTTTTAGAATAAGTCACTTCCAATTTTAGATGAAAGCCATCAATTCCTCGGGCAA